ATTTTTAACCAGTTTTCGTTTATTGAGATGCTAGGATTTTTATTTATACTATTTTGATTTTTGATTATTTCTATACTTTCCTTGAATTTTCTTTTGTATGTATCTCTTTCTCTGTGTAAGATATCTATATTATTTTTATCTATATTACAATTATTCAAAAGGCAGTGTTCATGAAAAGCAGAATTTAGTCTACGATATTTCAAATCGGCTATATGTTCTTTCAATCTTACTTTAACTTTACGTTTAGTTTCACCTATATAAATTTTTTTATTTTCGCATGTACACGGAATTTTATAGACGTGTAATTTTTTCCACACGTATCAACTAAATAAAGATGAGAAAATCCGCCAAGTGTCTTAATTTATAGCACTATATTGTGCCAGAAGCATAAACATTTCTCAAATATGTTAAATTCTTGTCTTGAATCAACATTTTTTTTTAAAAAAGCAAAAAGTAACTTTTTACTGCTTACACTGAAAGCTTAGAAAAGGTTCTGTTTGAATGAAACTGACATTTGGATTTGATCTCAAAATCATGCTGTAAGTAAGGAGTTACTTTTAAATATTTGAATATTAAGGTTTAATAGTGATGTCACACTTTAAGACAGTTAAATTGAGTTTCATACACTTCAGGAATGCAACAAACTTTTGATGAGTCGTATGAGTTTTGTTTAATATATAAGCAATAGTGCACCTTGATTTTATTAATATTATAGTACACTAAATGATTTTTTAAACTGAGCTTATAATGTAATTTAATAATATGGATTTTCAACGTGTAATTAATATATCTGCTATACATCTAATTGGGTCCATTCTTAAATTCATATTTTAGATTTTTCAATTGTTTCTTAAGTAAATTACTAACTTTGGCACTTCTGTACTTTAATCACATCATGCTTTTATATTGACTTTAACAGTAATCACTGATTTATGCAGTTGTAAGGGCTATGTAATATTAGAGCAAATTCACTTAAAATATATTTTTAATCAAACAATTAGAAGTTATTGCTGTGCAAAAACTGTGTTATATTCTAATTTTCTATAACGGTTAAGCTTTCAAGATAGACCAACAAATGAACTGAACTTTTGTTACAGGTTATACTGTATAGAATATGGAAACTTTACACTATCCCAGTAGCATAGCGTAGTGGGGGCGGCCCACCCCGGGCAGCAAAATTTCACAATAAATAATAATATCTTGTAAGAATTTGAACCATTTTATTTCATATCTTCGTCCACCTACGATTCGGACCAATTGAAATGAGCACAGAATAGTGTTACCATCCAGACAGTCTGGGAATCGACTCGCCGTCCGGTGATATTGTGCGCAACCTGTTGATCTTTTTTTTTTCTTTTATTGTACGATTTATTCTTATTCATATACACCTCCAATATCCAATAGAGCTAAGTCATCTGGGTTACTTACGTTACTCCCACCCAAGTCTCCCTAGTCGCTAACTGTAACTGATTTAGAACCTGCATGCACTCCATATTATTCTTCACATTGCAAAATGACATTCCGTCAGGAACGTCTGTTCTAACAAACCTCACCCGGGTCAGCTGGCAACACTAGCACAGAATTTTTCATTACTTATTCTGTGATGAAACTGAATTTTAGTCTTTTAAATTGAGATACCTAAATAAGGGGGGCAAAACTTTCCTCTTCCCCGGGCGGCTGATACCCACGCTACGATCCTGCATATCTACAACTATTCCAGTGTTTTACGAAAGCGTTTGTTTTACAAAGTTTAAACAGTACCGGAAAGTAAACGTTAAACAAGTGAGTACGAGATTGTTCAAAATACCAGTATTCAGAATAGAAGAATATTGTGACATTCCAGTGTCTATACCAGGGGTGTCCAATATTTTTGTTTCTCTGGGCCACATTGGAAGAAGTCATGGAGTTTTGGGCCACAAGTATTAATATATTATATATACTTGTAGCCCAATCCTTAAATATACATGTATATTTAAGGATTAACATGTCTAGATTATAGTAATAAGTATTAAAACTTTATCACGAAAAAGAATATTTTGAAAAATTATTTCTACAGACGCTTTCAATTTATACTTAGAAATAGATCAATTCATTTATTGTAAAGGAGACGAACAAAAATTTGTTTGAAAAACACAAATATTTGTTTTATTTGGGTCTCTAATTAATAAAAAAACGACAAAACACCATTTTAAAATGCATTTTTATTCAGCTAATATATTTATAAATAATATGTAGCCCAAAAAGTAGCCAATGCGCCAATTGATATTTTTTACAAAAGGGTAGCCAAATCTTGCAACTCTGGAAGAAATACTAAATAAAGCTGGAGTTGGGACTCGAGGATTAGAAACCCAAACGAGGGGAAAAGAGAGAAAAGACAAAAGATAAAGTGAGTAAGGTTGGAAAATTAAGGGTCAATATTTTCATAACAGGAGGTCTATTTAACCTTTTTCACTATTTTATATCTTTCAGCCTTTCTCTCCTTTCCCTGAATTTGGGACTATAATCTTTGAGTCACAACTCCAGCTTTATTTAGTATTCCTTCCTCATTCACACATCTCCAAGTATTTAAAATATTTCCTTTCCACTCAAAAATAAAATATTTATAAACTTTGTGAAACTTCTTTTTTGAGTTTATGCCGTTTAAATAAATAAATAATAAATTTAAAAAGTTTGTTGGTTTTTTTTATACGTTTATTGGGCCGCATTGGAACTTACCTTGGTCTGCATGCGGCCCACGGGCCGCAGGTTGGACACACCCGGTCTATACCATCTGTCAGAACAGCTCTGGAAGCTGTGTTTTTTCTTTGGATGTATCAATATTTAACAGGATCTCACACTCCAGCATCCCTATCATTTGTTTATTGGAACCCAAAACTATTCAACTTCTCTTTCTTTTCAGGAACAGATAAATTGGGCAGTATAATAGTGATCACTAACTTATGAGCAATAGGAACAAAACAAAATCTTAAAGTAATTACAGTACATCATAAATTTGTTTGCTAAAATATACTATTACATTAAAAGATTACTAACTTTTAATGTAACAGTATATTTTAAATGTTATGTCTTAACTAAAATAAAATTAAAATTGATTTTAGATGAATAATTAATTATGTAGGCTATATATTAATTTTAAAATGTTTAATATATATATATTTTTTTCAAAATTAAGAAGAAAAATTTTTTGCACATTTAAAAAATATATGTATTACGTGCTTTTATTTGGAAACACTTTACGAAAGCATTGGTGGCTTATCATCCGGTTAAAAATTTGAATTACAGGTTTGTTTACATTATCATAAAGGAAGATAAGGACTCTAAAGGGATTTAGCTTCTTGGAATGATTTTAGGAGTGTTTGAATTATATTCGCGCAGATATGAATGTGTCGCATCCTTGTTTATACAAATACACAACAGGATGTAAAGTAAGTCTATGATATAACGAATTTAAATTCTCAAATCAATGAGAAAAAAGTGAATTTATTTTATTATTCAAATAGACATTTAGACAAATAGAAACTTGTTTATAGTTACTTATGCTTAAACAATATATATTAATATATTATTGCTAATGTTATATTGTATGTTTTGAATAGAAGCTTTTTTTGAATGTTTTACTTCACATTTTGTTTGAATAAATTAAAGTCAAATTGTCTCCGGATAAAAAGCATTTAAGACGTTTATGCTTTATGAGTTTTGGAATGGTTATACTGCCGTACAAACAGTAAAAAAGTTTGTAATCCATATGGAGAAGATGCTCCTAAACTTCAAATGTATCAAATGTGGTCGAGGCCTTCTTAACAGCATTATAGACCTCGGGCAAAACAGTGCAATGAGTCTCTAGCTACATAAGCACCCACAGGAATAAAAATATAAATATCGATTAAATTAAATATATATTGATTGGTATTTCCAACAAAGTCTGTGTTTAAATATTAAAAAACATCCTGTATAGCAAAGATTAAGCAAAACAAACATTTTTGAACAATATAACTTGAACCTTGAAAAACAAAAATTTCAACACATACAAGTTAATGATATTTTTTCATGTTTTTCAAGGTTTATGGGAAACAATACAGACACCGGTGACACGGTATGAAAATGTTTTTATAATAAAAATCTCAAAACAGATGGAATGAGTGGTGAAATTAGGAAAGTATCACCATTTATTGCTAGATATTTTTATAAAGAGAAATAGCAAAATGATCAAGTTCATATAATAGCATGTTTTGGTGTGAGAAACAAACACATACAGTTGATTTAATTGTAAACTTTTAAATGAATTTATTAATTACACTCGGAAAGTTTTGATTAATTAATGTATTGTTTTACTGTTACTAATAAGAAGCTGTCAATTCTATTTAATAAGGAATCACCCAAATGAAATCTTAAATTCTCTGTTAGAAAGTTTGAGAAAAATAATAATAATAATTTTTTTTTTGAAATTAACAAAAGCAAGGATATTGTTGGTGAAAGATTAGCGTAAAAAAATTTTTTTGTGTCTTGTTACACGTGATTGGAAGTCAGAAGTAAAGTTCTTTGAGAAGACAAGTATTTTATATGTAAAAAGGAAACAGCAATAAATTAATAATTATTATCAAAAAGTAAACTGTATGAATTTGAAATAATTATAAATGTAATGTAACAACAAACTATAAGGTGAGGAAAATGACAGTTGTGTATAATACAGTTTATTATATCAAATTTTCAGGATATACTTTACAATTCCATTTGTGCCTACATTTAAAACTTTATAACATTAACATAAGCTGTAAATTTCACAAAGTATTAAAGATATCATAAATTTTTGATAAATCAATAAAGGCAGACATCACATTAGAATAAATTTATGATATTTATAAGAGTTAACAGTAACTAATAAATTTTATTTATTGTTTATTTTTGTTATTATAAAGGTAATTATAGTACATTAATTATTTTTATTGTAGAAAATATTGATCATAAATTAATTCAGGAAACGTGATTATATAANGATTATAAATTAATTCAGAAAACGTGATTATATCACATTTTGAAAATCACAACGATGATATTAAAAATACATATACAGTTTATGCCAGATTGCTTTTTACTGTTCTTTTATCATCAGGAGATAGCTTGATATTATCTTTTAGACTCAAATATTGTTCAGTAGAAATCAAGTATTTGACTTCTCCAATTAAATCATCCTTGCTAAGGAGAGCAACAAGATTTTTATTTGTTTTATGTGATTTCAGTTGAAAATATTTCGGAATTACTGCAGGTTTCTCGACATCTTTGAAAAAATTATACATGTTATAATGTATAACAGGGCAGTTAGAACATTTAAGGACAAGTACACCACTAAAGAAAATTTTAAATTTATCCCATTTAAAACTATTTATTAAATTTTGAATGAGACGTACGGACTGACGAATATCACAAATATTTTCTGGAAAAGTTACATTTTTAAAGCTATCCTCATCTTTAACGAATTTAAAACTTTTATCCAAAAGTAAAAATATCTCCAATTTATCAGAATTTTTGTAAATGTGGTGTAAGTCTATTAGTGTTTTTCTAACTATTTCATAGAAATGTTTTGTCTCAGGAAAAAGAAAATAAATTTGAGAAAGGTGAAAGAAACGTTGCTGAAATAAAAATCTCATCATTTCTAGAGATGTAAAATCAAAATATATTTTAGCATTTGAACAAAATAATTGTTTGTTCGTTATGTTTTTAATTTCATTAACACATTCAACCCAAATTGGAATAGAGTGAATATTCTCTTGAATAGTGTATATAAATTCATTTGAAAATTCATTGTCGCCATAAAGACCACTAAGAAATGTTAGAATTGTAAAGTCATAGGCACTATCTTGAGCAATTTGCATTGAATGGAAATAACAAAGAGCAATGATAAAGTCAAGAAAGCTTCTATGTATAAAATGGAAACAACTAATTCCGTCTACCTCAGAATACTTTGCAAAAATATCTAGTCCTAATATAAATTGATAGTCTTTTTCTTCTGGAAACTGTTTTCTTAACTGTTTATCTTTTAATGTTAGAAATTTTAGAGTCTCGTACATAAATACGGCCTTATCCATTTTATTCATTTTGGATCTTTCGCCCAAATATATTTCTCCCAATTTAACTAGTAAGTCTTCTCCATAGAAAAACTTTCCTTTTACTAAATTATGTTTTTCTCCCATTTTCCTCATATATCTTTTTATCACCAGACGAAAGATTTGAATGAACAAATCTGTCTTTGTTTTTATTTTGCAAAAGTATTTCGTTTTTGGTAGACAGCATAACATATGCAACATTAACGGACATTCAGCTAAGGTGGAATGAAAATCGCTGAATTTTATCAAGTTTAAAAGTTCATCCCGTCTGCCGTTATCATCATTAATAACCAATTTAATATACTTTTCTTTTTGTTGTTGTGAAAATCCTTGAATAATGAATCTCATATGTGCGTATTCTCTTATATTTTCGGCAATGTGAGAACGACAAGTAACAAGAATTGTCATATTTTTAGAAATACGGAATGAATCTTTTTTAATGAAATGTATAATTGAATCTTTATCACCTGTTTCGTCGAATCCATCCAGAATGATTAATAAATTAAATCCCTTTTGTCTTAACTTATCTCTAGAATTGGAATCTGTATTTTCACAGATACATTGGAGAATTTCATCTGTTATACTTTTTTTCTGTAATTCTCGCAAACTAATGACAACAGTAAAATCATAATGTCCTAAGTAATCAGTACGGGATGTATCGGTACCCCAATCGTAAGCTATTTTCTTACAAAAGGTAGTTTTGCCATAACCGGGATCAGCAGTGACTAACAATACAACATGTTCGTCGATTGATTTTGGAAAAATCTGTGTAAACTGAATAGTTTCTCCTGCTTTTTTACATAAGAAATCTGCTTCTTGAACAGTAAGTTCGATGAAGTAGTCTGTTAAGGGAAAGTCTTTGTTTTTTTCACTCCACAACAGAGATTTCATATAAGCATTTTTAGTCTTGTAATAATTCATTAAACATTCTCTCTGTATCTGAAAAGATTCTGAAAAATATTTACAAATAAATATATTTCTATAGTTGTTATTAGACTTCAAAAAATTAATGTTACTAATTTAAACACTACTTGTGTAAATTTGAAATACACTCAAAAATTTATCACTTTATAATGAGTGTAAAGTATTTTTAATGTAGGGTCAAGCCTGAACTTAAGTTTTAACCAGCATCATTAATAATATGAATTAGTTATTGTTCCTATGTTGATTGACATTACTGTGGAACAAGTGTTCTCATATAAGATGCAGTTTTGACTGGTCATTGAGTTATAGTAGGGGTATTTGTGCTTGCACACAAATGTAGCATGATGTATCTGCATATTTTTTTAAGTGTCAATCATGTAAAGAAAACAGAAAAATCTTACCTAATGCCTATTTCTGATACTGGTTTTGTGCATTTGATTTGCTTTCTTAAACTTTAATAACCAGTCGACCCCCTATAACACTGTTGATTATTCTGTTTTATATGAATTCCATGTTGTACAAGTCACTTAGATTTTACAAATACGTGATCCATTCGCAGCCTGGCACATGTATTTGTAAAATCTAAGTGACTCGTACAACATGGAATTCATATAAGTATAAGTTTATTATAGTTTAACAATTGTAAAGCCAATATACATTTATGTTTCAATGTTATTCAATTTCAGAACTAAATGATAAATACAGGCAACATAAGCTATGAGAATAAATAATCAACAAAATGCAAAATTATATTTTAAAATTTTACTTTTATATTTCTTGCCAAATAATGTAATGCTTCTGAAAGGGGCCTGATACAAAAATTACTATTTACTAGACAAACTGTACAGTTAATTCTAATGTTTATATTTGTGCTCTAACAATAAAAGTTAGTAGATAAATATAAATATCTTATGTAAAGGACTTTTTTAAACAAAAATTACTGGCAAATTCGGACAAATTTCACTTATTTATTGTCATTTATAAATTTCTATTACTAACTTAAAATTTAATAATATAAATCAATTGTTTCTATATATTATTATTATTATTAATTCATTTTACATACTTAATTTTAAAAAAGATATTCTATCTGATTTTTTTGCAATTACCTGAATCATTTTTATCAGTTGAACTGGATGGTTGATATATATTAATTACTTTAAAAACATTTCCCACATGGGGGTTTACTGAGTTTTCTATTAGAATACCTGAGAATAGTGATAAAATATATTATAAAATATTGTTTTTATTTTCTATTATTATTATTAAATTTTTATTTGTAGAGATTTAATGTATATATTCAAAAATAATTACTGTCTGCTATTTTTTCCGTTGCTGCATTTAAGGCCAAAGTTTCCAATGCCTGTAATGTTTTCATAGTTAAAACTTAATATGTTATTAAAATTAATTATATAACATTTTAATTATCTATTATAAGGTCAAAACACAAATATGTATGCTATAAAATATAATCATTAACTTAAAATTATGTACTTGCAGTTAATCATAGCAAGAAACAATAATCTTTTACTTCAAAATACTTAATTTCTGTTAAAAGTGTTTAGTCTTTTGTTTATACACATTTCCTATACACACTTTACAGAGAAAAAAAAAGTTTAGATTATGATTTGGAATTTCAAGTCAAAATGTAATTAGTTTATAAATTCTTGCTTTTTCTTTAAAATTGAATTAATATTTATTTAAAATCAGTCAAAATACAACCATTTGTTATTTGTTTTTTCTTATAATTTCAATGAGAAGGTAGAATATTAAACATTTAGGTTAATGTTTACCTAGGTAGTCCAAGATGGCCGCACAGTGGGGACCCACGTTCTAACCTAACCTAACCTATTCTAATAAATTAACAAAATTACTAATGTAAGATGTAAAATAACTCAAAAAATTAATTATATGAAAAAAGGAAAATTTTCTTAATTTATTAGAATAGGTTAGAACGTGGGTCCCTACTGTGCAGCCATCTTGGACTACCTAGGTAAACACTAACCAACATTTAATATCAGGTTTAACATCTGAGATGTTTTTTGCTAAACTCTGTTGTTACACAGAAATTTTTGTAGTTGCACAATTGAATGATGTCCATGGTTGATGGCATAATTGAAATGCCTATAACGTATAACCTTTATAATCATTGTTGTAACTTGCATAGATAGTTTTTTTTATGTATTTTCTATGTCTCAAGTAATGTTAACTTTATCAATTTTATCAAACGAACAAAGCTCTAATAAAAACAAATACGCCGCACTAATCTTGTATAGCTTTACAGTTACTATATAGAAGGTAACAGTAACATTTTCGACATATTCTAGGATCAACTTCAAGTGTTCTATAAATTTATTTATTTATATAACTATTTGTAACTTTATTAATAAAAAAAATTTACCTTTTCTTGACTTTCCTCCATATTTTAGTATGAAAACAGATGTAATCTTAATAAGTAAATGAAAATTTAACACACCTATATTTTTATCTGAATATATCGTTATTATCTTATCTAAAATGTAAACGTATGCATATTATTCAAAAGAAATTATTTCTTGAAATTAATTATATTAATTAAATGAATAAAAAGTTAATGCAAATTTAATTAATGGAGATTATTTGACATGAAAAAAGATTTTATATTTCAGATGATCTAAGAAAACCTTTAGTTTGCAACTTTTTAAAATTAAATTGTTAGTATCTTTGGGTGAAATGATCTCTAATCGTAAAATCTCTGTTTAATTTCAAACCAAGAATCGGTTATAACGATCGGATTGGACGCCAGTCATGTCCTGTTCGTCCAACTGACCCGAACTAAAGACATCCCACATTCCTGAATCGCACGCCCACACATAGGTGTAACCACGTGCGACTAAATATCCAGATGGCACAACGCGCTGATTGGTAAGCTGAATGACGTCAACCTACTAAAATCGGAAATGTTGATCGATCAGCCTAAACTTCTGTTAAAATTCGTTCCTTCTTTCAACGTTGAGGTAGCGCTGTTGTCAGCGCTGCCTCAACGTTTTTCCAATGAATTATGGGTAATTGGTAAGACATTTGAATGAAATCCATCTTGCTGAGAATGGAATTATGGGAACTAAGCACTTCGTACTCGAGTTGGAACGTCGTTGATGACGTCAAATTGTTGACTTCAACAATCAACACTCGCGTTGAAAATTGGAATGTCCCGTTTGTGTTGTTGTTGTTGTTGTCGTGAGAGCGGGCATACATTTTATAATAGTTATAGACATTTCATCTAAAACTTGATAAAATGCAATTATTTATAATTTCAATAGCAAATAATTGACATTAATTGAAAAATTTTTAATACATTAAACTAAGTTACGCGATATCAAAGATTTTAATTCCGAGACACTTTTAAACATCAAGAAGTAACTTTTATCTGTTTTGTGTTTTTGAAGCTTTTTTTGTACATTTACTTTAATAATAAAAAACAACAAATGTAAATTGCAAATTCAGTTTTTTTTTTATATTCTTTATTAGACAATACAGTATTTTTAACATTACAGAAACTTGCATTTAATATTTTTTATAAATATATTACAACAGAATATGCTAAGTGGAAATGCAGATTACTTAACAATTTAATATATATTTTCGCCTAAAATTCATACTTTTTAATGCATAATTGTTAAAAAATTTTAAATAATAAGTTATTTTTTCTACAAATTCTCTAATCCATTGGTTTGCTTTTCAAATCAAATCCTGTGAAAACTTAATTATAGACATAATAAGTATAAATACAACTTTTTTACAAAGAAAAATTCTTTGTTTCAGTCATTTTTTCGTTGTTCGTCATCAGCAGTTTATTAAAAAACAAATACTCACAGAGACGACCTTTCTTTATAGGCTACTGCCTCCGTTTATTATTTATTATATTAATATTAAATAATCGTTGGCCATGTAAACTTATTATGTTTACTTAATTATAGACACTGGATATACATTTTTCTACGCAACCAGGTATACAGCACATACAAGGCATCTAGAAATAGTTATTCATTAGTATGGTAATATTATTTTAACAAAAAATAGAAAGGATTAAAAAAATAGTTTACTATGAAAACATTACAGGACAAATGTAACATTACTTCTTCCTGACACATATTGGTAAACAATTTCCACCATGAAATGTATGGAAATTCTTATTTAAAACATATATAACTATTATATTCAAAGGAATTTAAATACATTATTATTGATTGTTAAATAATTTATACAAGAATTCTATACTTTTAATTTGAAAAATGGTCATACAAATTTGATTAAACATATTTACATATATATCCTTGATGGAACTGGATATATGAAATTTCTGTAAATTTGAAAAGTATTGTTTCTTAACACACAGATTTTGAACTTTTCTCATACCCCTTATCTCAAAAATTTTTGTCATCAAACTAAAGTTCACCCTGATCACCCACTCTGAACATTCCCACTCATCCTGTTGACGTGTGGAAAATTCTTCATACTAATTGGATGAAATTGTTCGAATATAGCAGATCACTTCTTCAGTTCGTCACATTTTCTCGAAAGAAGATCTAACCAAGAGTTTTTTCAAATTCTTGACTGCAGAATTTCCTCCCCTCCAGACCAGACTTTTCTAAGAAGAAAAATTAGAACCCTAACGCTATATCTAGGTTGGTGTCAGGAAAAACAACTTTCAGGGGTTTCTTACGAACTTCTATTCTTTATGTAAAGTCTAAGGAAGCCATCCTTTGACGTAGCGAGCCAATCTCAACGATTAAGTGACATAGAGCCCAAATTAAAGTTATTCTATGCTCCCAGCTCCTCACATACGTATTTAATAAACTAATATGTTCAAAAATATAAGATAACTTAACATTATATTGTTCTTTTAAGCACAATTGTTAAGAGTAAAGATAATACACTGTATTTTAATTCATGTAAAAAATAGACCAGCAACGAGTTGCTCAAATTTCCCGGCAACGTTTAACATTTTGATGGCTCCATCTCTTTCATACTTAGTTAAAAATATAATGATTTTAATAATTAAAAATGGGCAAAAAGCTTAATTTTGAAGGTAGGGATGAGTTTTATAAAAAAAAAAAAATTAAATGCTAATAACGAGTAAAATCGTCATTAAGTCCAACCCTACTGGAAATACAGGACCCCATTATCTTTCCACTCCATCGACCTTTAACCACCAAAATTTAACAGAACTAATCCCCCTAACAGATAAATTTCCCTGCAACATTTCAGAAATTTTCGACAAAAATAATAGGAGTTATTAAGCTTCAAACAGGTTGAACAAAATCGTGCTCCCATACACACTAACATCAATACATACAGAAATTACCCCTGAATGTTTTTGCATTTCTCCACGATTGAGCTCAAAAATCTGGAGGTGGAGTCATTTTTGCCGGATTGCCCTAAATACGTTAATGATTTTAGACGGATACGACGAGATTCTCGATAAAAATTCCATCGTACAGTTCATTCAAGAAGATTCGTTTGACGATTCTTGTTATCAATCGTCCACAAGTTGCAGAAGAAT